ATCAAAAGTATGCAAAGGTGGGAAATGCTGTTAGCGCATATAATGATGAATCTTGTTACCGAAACGGAATTGGGGTAACAAGAAATTTACAAAAGGCCAACGAATGGTACCAAATGTTATATTCATTAGATTTATATATATTATATTTAATAATTGTAATTAAAACGAATTATTATTAGAAGTCACAAACTCACACATGGATTCTGTGCAATGTTTGTGGTAGTTAACAAAAAATTTTTAAAGTTCGTTGTAGTTAGGGTTAGCGTTTAGATCAAGGTTAGAAAGTTAGGCAATTAGATAGTAAATTCGCTCAAGGAAACCTTTTTGTTAGGGCATTAAAAGTGGTTTTTTATGAATATTTTTAAATTGGTTAATCGACATTTACAAAGATCAAAAAAAAAAAAAGTAAATTATGATGAAAATTATCTAATTAAGGGATGTTATTTTTTCTAGAAAATAATCCACAATACAGTTGTTTCTTTATTAGTGAAATTCTATTATACAAGCCGTATTGATACGATATAAATATGCTAGTGCACGCCAAATATTGATATAAGTAAATAAAGGCAATATACCGTAAAATGCCTAAGAAAAAATATAAGTTTTCTAAAAAAAAAATGCTAGTCGTTATGAGTTCACGCAAAATATGAAGACCTTCAAGTATCTAAAGTCGTAATTTTTATAATTTCGTGTAACCATTTTCTGTACACGGGACTATAGCTAATAACGATAATAACGATAATAAATATTAGATATATAACTAAATATAGCGCGATGAACCATCTCGTTGTCATTTATCAGATAAATTGACCATAATATTATTAAGCAAACTTACACTTGAAATTATACTTTGGCAAGTTCGTTGTCGGAAAATATTGCTATTAGTATTAGAACATTCGGTTTCTTTATCAGATTTTAAAAATTCTTGTAAAAATATCTTCATTATTTTTCCAATTCTCAATAGTCTCATAAATTTCTAAAGCAGATGGTCGTTGTTTGGGTCACTGTCCCAGCACCTTTTTAAAAGATTGTATAGCACAATGCTGTACCTTTAAGAATTGGTGGTCTTAACCCGTCTAAAATTTTTAAAATCAAGCTATGACCATGTGGTTGTCCAGAAAATGCAGCTCCTCCTGAAGAAATTTCCCACATAATTATACCTAAAGAATAAATATCCGATTCTTTTGTAAATGGTTTTCCTTTTAGAACTTCAGGTACTATATATGGTACAACTCCATAAATTCTTTTACTAATTGTCTCTAATATTTGGTTGGCTGACTTTGCAAGCCTTAAATCACCATTGTATGCGCTATATAAATTATCTTGAAATATATTGCCACTATGTAAATCACAATGAATGACATCATGTGAATGAAGTGATTTAAGATCAAATGCAATAAATGATAATATTTGAATTTTTCTTTCCATGTCATTCTTGCAATATTAGAAATATATTATTGTTTAAAGATCCCATTCTTGCATGCTGCATAACTAAAATATATTTATTGTTTTCGTCCCATAATATTGTAAAAATATAGGGCTGTTTTCTCTAATTTTACAGTATGCGTTCAACTTTTAATTTATAAGTGTTAATAATAATAATAAACAAGTATAAAGAAAATTTGATCATTAAAACTTTACCTCATTTAAAATACTGCTATTCGGTTCGTCAAATACATTAGTACTACAATTGATTTTTGTAAATGACTAGCAGATAAAAGGTCAACTCGGCGAAATACACTGTGGCAATTAAATCATTATAAGATATCCACTTAATTGAATTATTTTCAACAAATTTTTTCAAATTTTCATCAAGATCATTAGGTACTTCGTATTTAATAGGTTTATATTCATTATTTCTTCCAATTCGACTGCTTCTTCATGATTTTGTATGGTTCCACAACCATCTCGATAGTACTTTGAAAGTTGGTTATGCCCATAAGGATTACCACCTTCAGAAGATTTCAAACACGACTGAAATACTTCGAAACTATTTTTCCTAGTACATATACCATTTTCGTGGAATGATTATATATAATCTTGTCCATTAGGTTCGCTTCTTTCTTTAGATTAAGGTACGATTTATATGCTTTCTTCATGTTTTTAACAACACCTATCCCATATCGGTAGCAAAATCCAATACATAGTTCATGAGGACTAAATTTACTTTCAACATGTTAAATATACCATTTAACAACCCTGGCAATGTCTATATTATTTTCGGTGAGCATTCTAAGAATTACTTGTCTAGCATAAAGATCTTCAACAGATTTTAAACATATCTTCAGTAGTGTCTATACTCTTTGAATGTACTGTTCAATATTACGTTGTCCAGCAGAAATGCCATTTTTAATAGGAAATTTATTACCTTCGGCAGATTTTGAATACCATTCGAGTGCTTTTTTGTTATCTTTAACGATACCAATACCAATTGTATAGCAGGTTCCAACAATAAATAGACTATCAGAATTACTATTTTCAGCAGATTTTAAATAACATTCAAATGCTTTAGCTTCATTCTTAATACAGCTTATACCTTCTTTAAAATCGTGTCCAAGATTTATTTGCCCCCAAGGATCACCACGCTCTGCGGATTTGAAATAACATTCAAATGCTTTATTTTCATCTTTTTCAGTGCCTATACCATAGAGGTAGCAAATCTCAAGAGTAGAGGATCACTTTCAGCACCCTTTAGGAAAACTTTAAATAATTCAACGAACTCATGGCTTGTGGGAGCTCTAAAATGGGGAGTAAATCGCTTAATCAAACTCGACATCCGTAACTGAATTCGAAAGAGACGTTTAGATTTGGGTAAGCGATGTGTTGCATTTCAGGATAGTCCACCTACTTCAAGACTATATAATTTCAACAATCCTCGCTACTTTGAGACTGTTTGAC